TTTTCTTAGCTGTGCTATGACCTGCACTCGACCTCTTTGGCTGCATAATTCTCGAATTTTGTGTGGCTCTCCATATGGCTTACCATAATGATAATAATAATAAAATGTTTGCTAGTGCTACCGATATTGTTCTACTATAAAGAGAAATGAACCCAAAATGGAACCTTCTGGGACCCCACTGGAATCTGCTGCTGAGTTCGATTGGCGACCCGCAAATTCAGCAAACTCAAGTTTATTTTATGGAATATGATGATCTACCGTGTTAAAGTCTTCGGATATGTCTAGACATACGCCAACTGTATTTTTTCTTTCACCAAATGCAGCGTAGACACTACTAGCGAGGGAGGTAATTGCCTCATCAGTCGATTTAGTGTTCCTAAAGCCATACTGTGTAGGCCTACTGGTTAATTGGTTTTCTTTGCAGGTTTCTAATCTTTTACTATTATTTATTCTTTAGAATTGTAGTAAAACTTAGTAAAAGTGATAATGAGCGGTAATTCTCAATGTTACGCTTATCTCAATATCTAAAGATTGTCTGGATCTCGGCAGTCTTCCATGATTCTTGGAAATTTCCTGTGATTACTGACGAGTTTGTGAGATATAGAAGGATCTGAGCGATATTTGGGAATCCAGAGTTTATAAGGTCATTATTGATGTTGTCAGACCCAGGAGATTAATTATTTTAGTTGATATGTTGTGTCGGAAATTGCTTTAGAAGTAGTCGGAAAAAGAGTAAAGATAGTGGACGATTTGTAAGGAACGCATATGGAGAAACAACGGTTTCATGAAATGTTGATGCCAGTCTCTTACGATTTTTTAAAGATTAAATAACTATTAATTCGGACTCCTCACTTCCTTGCCTTCAATAGGGATTGACAGATATTGACATTGGCCTTTTGTTTAAAATGGTATAGATTTTCTTCCGAGTTTCCTTTGAGTTTCCCTATTGTTTTTAAGTTTATCGTAACTGTAATGGGTGATTTTCTGTAATTCATAGAAGCTCATTTGTCTCACTAATGAGAACTTTGATTTCGTTATTAATATAAAACTTCATTCAGACTTTTGTTCTTATGTATTAGATATTTTCAGGGAAAAAAATTGTTAAAACATGCCACGTAAAATTATATTAAATAGCATTAGGTATGATGGAACTAACGAATTCATTAAGAGAGTTTTTGAAATTCGATATATTACCCTCGCTGTAATCTCTATACTTAATTGGTATTTTAGGTCTTCCTATGTTAATCACTTTCAGGTGAAAATGCTGCCATGATTGGAAATGTGGTTATAAAGCGCCCTGCTATTGCTGCATGACGTTGAATCATTATTAATGCTATTATAATAATTATTATCATTATTCATGTTATTATTATTGTTATTACCCCCTTTATAATTGAATATTGCTCTTATTATCATCCCCACCATCATCATAAATGTTATCATCATTATTGTTTCTATTGATATCATTAATATCATTATCATTATCTTTGTTATTGTTTCTTATCATAATTTTCATTATAATCATCAGTATCAGTATCATTGTCATCTCCATTACCACTATCATTGTTGTAACACTGTTGTAAAATCCGTAACATGCTGGCCCAAAGGATTTCGGAATAAAAAAAATCATGCTGGTGTTTAACATCATAATCACTAGAACTAACACAAATAACAGCTCTTGTTATTACTCATTCTTTTGAAGAAAAATTGCATTTGCTCCAGGTCTTTCACACACAGCAAATATGATTCATCGTGTAAATTCTAATTCGCATTTTGATATTTTGTTTCTAGTCGTGTGATTCTAATTTCACACACACGCACCTGAAAACACACACATATATTTACTTACACATACACTTACATATACACATATGCACAAACACTCACGAACACATGTACACACATACATACACGCACACACACGCACGTACGCACGCACGCACGCACGCACGCACACACACACACACACACACACACACACACACACACACACACACACACACACGCACACACCCACACACACCCACACTCACACACACACACACACACACACACACACACACACATATATATTTGTGCGTGAGAGAATCCGAGAGAGAAATTTGATTATATTCTCACTCATTGATATAATGATATTCATAATCACAATCTTGGTCAAAGTAAATAAATACGCGTTAATAATCGTTATCATTCCTGTCAATATATTTACTACACTATTTTGTCAGAATCATGTACCCTTTTCCGACCACCAAACACCCATAGAAACACATAAATTCTTTTCAAAACATAATTTCCATTATCATAAGCACAGTTATAATCATATATTTTTTAGCAACAACAAAACCATAAGCCGGCTTAAAGCAGCTCTTCCTCCACGTAGCCATATTCATGCTCATCACAGTAAGCTTCTGTACCCAGAATAAATTCCTCGTGCGTAACCTTGCATCATTCAGGGAATATCTTGCAAAAACCGGATGAGCCGAGGGTGGAATTGGGTCTT